AAGATGGAGCTGCAGATAGAAACTCACAAACTGAGATGGATATTGTTCAGCCTTACACTGCAACTACTAGAGCCGGACAGAACCGCAAGGCTGATCAAAAAAGGGAAGGGACCACGAAGGAATTCGAAGAATGGTTCTATGGATGCTGAGCCGCGGGTCAATATATTTTCTGTAACATCACTGGCCGATAAGCTTGAGCATATGGTCGAGGGAAGTTCTCTGCTCTGCGGAGATGGAGGATCCGAATCATCTTTTGTGAAGCCAAAGGATATTACAACAGCTGTTACAGCAGAGGTGGTTATCTCTGGGCATAAAAGAATCCCTTCTAGAACATCAATCCCCGTTCAACGTACCATCAAGGGAATGCAGGTCTCGGGGTTACCCCAGCTAGTGCTGTCGAAGAGGCCTCAATCATCCTCCCAATTGCTTCATTAGCAATCTGAAAAGGAAAGTAACGGCATTGAGAACAAAAGCGGGCTGGCGGCTGTGGGAGGAAAAGGGGTCAAAGGCACAACGACAGCGAAGGTTGAGTGAAAGTATTGATAACGCTATAACCAGAACTCGGTCAGCTCACACAGTAATACCCTCACTCGATATTAATGTTGTCCAGGAGAGAATTGGAGCCGATAGCCCCTCGAAGTTCAAGGTGGTGGGCGGGAAGGAAGCAGGAAGAGCAAGGGGGACTGAGGCACCAGAGCCCCTGCTATAACTACCTTGTCGTCAGAATCGCTAATACCGGTTAAGCACAGCCATGATGTTGGCCAGGTCGGCAGTGGCCATGAGCATCAGCGGGCAAAGGAGCGGGCAAAGGAGGGAATATGGAAGTGGCTTGGGGGAAAGGCGGCACCTAGAAACAGTAAACCAGGACTATTGATTGATAATTGACTTAGAACATCGATATCGGCTGGGGAATAAACCTGGGCAGCGGGTCTAGTCCTTCCTTACATCTTTGAGCAGATATTTGAGTTCCTCAGAGCATTCCACAGTGGCCAGTTTGAGAGTATCAAGGAAATATTTGCAATGATTGTTGACGGGAACAATTATTGGGAGGGTGTACAACACAAGGACACCATAGCCCAGTTATTTTCTGACTTTGCATGGATAGGTGATGACATCTCGCAGGGCCTAGTCAAAGAGAGCATTGAGAGGGTATATATAACACTACATACATAGGCGGGTTCAGTGAATATGCTAACAAACCATACCAAATTAGACACATAATATCCTGTCTATTGATGAAGCCTTCTGCTCAAGAGCGCTTGCTTTTCTCTCTATATTTTCTTACTGGATTGAAGCAGGTTATTGCAATTGCTTCTATACTATCTCTTATGCACCTTATGCCGGCGCAGTGCGGTGAAGATGGATTCATTTTCTTTCTTGCTGTGGGAAATCCATCGGATTATGTTTGTAGATTTGTTTCTGGCCTTTAGAATTTGATTATATTTGTGGAGCACGTTAAGTGAGTTCAGGGTAATGCAATAACACGCCAAACTAGGTAAACTAGGTACCACATCCACTTGCGAACATCAAACTGACAAAGGATATTCTTCCTAGGTGAGAGTACCAACCACCTTTGGCACAAGGTAAACCTGAAACCCCAAAGTCCTAATCAATCATCCAATACAGAACTCCAATAACCCAACCCAACCACGAACCATTTTAGAAAACAAATATCCAATGAAAGTGAGCAATTCTTCATTTTTACCCCCCCCCCCAAAAAAAAAAAAATGATAATAATAATCTAAAACCAGCCTGCACACACACTCTCTCACTCCTTCATCTCCCAAGGAAACTCAAACCCCACCTCGGGCACCCCCCTCTCCTTACAACCCCCTCCCACTCCCTTCTCCGCAGCCCTCACCACCGCCCTCCTCCACTCCCGCAACCCTTCTCCAATCCTAATCCCAACTTCATTCTCTTTCCTTCCCAAAACCGTTTCCTCCCCAGCCTCTGCAACAACCTCCCCGAACCACTCCACCACCGCCTTAGCCTTGCCCATATCTCTTTCTAGAACAACTACATCTCAAAGGTAGCGTACTAGTATATCAACATCTTCCTCATTCGGGCCTTCAAACCCTCGATCCCCATCTCCATCAGTATTTCTATCTTCCTGCATCCGAGACGAGATAAGTTCCCTCAGCTGAGGGAGGGTAGAGAGGTGTTGGAGGTGTGGGGATTTCAGCGGACGCGGGGGTTGGGGGAGGAGGAGGCAGCGGGTGGAAGGTGGGGGGTGCAGGGGGTTAGGCGGTGGGGTGGGGAGGGTAACGTGTGGTTTTGGTAATGGAGGTTTGGTGGTGCGGTGGTTGGAGAGAACTTCGGAGAGGATGTCGGGGGGAAGGGAGACTAGGACAGTGTGGTCTAGGTCGGAGGGGAAGTTGAGAGGGAGTTTTGGTTTTTTTGGTTGGAGTGGAGGATGAGGTGCCAGGGCAGAAGAGGGGGCAGTTGGGGGGTGCCGAGGGATAGGGGTATATGTAATTGTTGCTGTTGGTCCCTTTAAGGTAGGGTGGTTGAGATGATGGTATTGAGTAAATAACGTCCTTAGTTGAACATCATACGAAACCGGCCTTCCACTTCTTGTCCCGCTCGGGCTACTGCTCGTTCCAGGCTGAGATCTACCTGGAGACCCACGACTGCTAATACCACTCCTGGCACCCCACTCTGTAACCTTCTTCGGCGATTGCAGCAGAAGCGTCTGCCGCTCCTTTCTTCCTTTACCTTTCCGCGGTGATGCCACCCCTCCCCCCTTCGGGAGTGGAGAAGGAGGTTCTGCAGCAGCAGAACTATATTCTCTCAATATCTCCTCTCTCAGCTCCAGAGTCAAGCTAGCAAGAAAATCTGGATCAATCTGTGATACCGAAGGGGGTATAAGATCGCTGGTATTCTGTGGGGCTTGTTTCGATGGCCCAGCTACTAGTGGAGGTGCGGGGGCTGAGGATGGGGCTGTGAATTGTTTTTTCCCTCGTGGAAGAGGAAGAGATATTGTGGTTAATTGGGGTTTAGATAGGGTAGTGGTGTGAGAGGGAGTGGGATTCTTTGCGGCGAGGATCCCAGCTCGCATAGTCGACGGAAGGGCATCGAGAACAGATGGATCGATTTGCGATGCGGAAGGGACAAGGAATTGAGATGATGCAGGCGAAGCAGCCGCGCCAGCTGGGGAGCGAGGGTCTGGTTTGGATGACTCGGGGCGTGGAGCAGGTGGGGGTGGCTTGATTCCTGGGGTGCGTAATAGTATCCTTCTTCAATTCCTCTACACTTCCGTAGATGATTTCTCCATAAGTACTTTCAAATCTGACATATCCCTGATTTTGCTGGTGGCCTACCTCCATCATGAATTCCAGCACATTTTACTCTGGAGAATTAGATGTCTAGAACTGCAGCAGTATATACCTACTCAAATCTCTTACCCCGATAGTAAAGAAACCTTCCTCGCCTAGAGAAGGAAGTGAGCTACCTTAGAGCAATAATGCACCCGAACATCTGGAATCAACTTCGAGAGACTGGCTAATTACCCTGAATCCGTGCATACTAATTTTAGGACCGGAGTGTTCTCACGGAATGTGGTGTGACCGGCAAAATAACAGTGGAGACAGCGTTCTCGAACATCTCTACGGGTAGCAGCCCTGACGATTGGCCATATATAATAGTGTTGGGAGCAACTGTTGTCATATTGGTTGTCGATCTCAAATGCCGGAAATGGGAGAAGGGAGCCAGAAAAATTGGGCTCTAGTAGGGAATTAGGCCTTTATATTGTTCTATTTGCACTAGAGAAACAAGTCCTGGATCATCTGTATTATAGTTCTGTGATTTTTGATGCTTGATGGGCAATATCTGCTTCCATCGTGATGTAAATTACTGACTTAGCTTTATTACATAGGATTCCAGGCTAAGTGGATATATGTATGTACGGAGATAGCTTCTTCAGGGTTTCCTAGACTATCATTATTTGATAAGCCAGAGGAATTGAATAATTTAAAAGATGTTATGTTAAGCAGATTGAATGCCAGTGATGTGATGGATGTATGAAGCAAATACTACCTTGTATTTCTTAGTCTGGGTTATTCCCTGCACTAGATTTTCACGAATGTAAGAAACCTACCAATTGCAAATAAATTACCCTGGACTAGATGGGTGCACTTTTAAATAATAAAAAAAGCAAAAAAAAAAAAAAGTACTCGTATGCACTGCTATTTGCAGATGCCATCAGGAAAAAAGGAGTTTCCCAGGAGGTAGGTAGTCGAGATTCCACCTACTCGCTCTATTTATGTATGTCTGAAATTTTGCATTGATTCCTCATCAATACCTCCTATCACAAGCTTAGGCTCTGTTGCTTCCTTGTTAAAAACTCTCTAGGTACCAGACAAGGACTACTACAACTTGCGTCTTAAATCAGCAAAATAAAAGAAATTGTGGTAGCGATGAAGAGTCGGACACTATCGTTGTCTCTAAACAACCTTCGCTTGCTCAAGCTCAAGCTGCACCTCCGCTTCCTCTCCAAGCACCTCCGCTAGCTGTTGCAGCTCCGCCAACGGCACCTCATTTACCCCTTCCCGCGCATCGAGATTTTAGGTCAAGCATTAAGATTGGAAAGCTAGCGAGTTAAAAAAAAAACTTGGTATGAAAAAAAAGATACATAGGTAAAAGAGTATTGAAATTGATTTATGGCTTGCCTAGTACGAGATCTCTGAGCATAGAGAGTCGTGGCAGGGGAAATGGTTTAGTGCATAAATCTGCTAAATTGTCGTGGCTCGGAATATAGAGATCCCAGACTCAACTAAGTCTCGTACATGATGATTGCCACTTCGATGTGCTTGCTCTTATCACTGATTCGAGGATTAGAAGTCAGATCAATAAGAGTCATCATTGTCAGCGCTTAAAGCAGCTGCAGAAATTCTGAGCTCATTCAAAGCAAACTGTAGCCACATATAGTGCTTGGCGGTTGTTGATAGAGCGATGTATTCGGCTTCAACTGTTAGAAGTTGCAACACAACGCTGTTTAATAGCTCGCCAGACAGTGAGACTCGAACTCACAACCTTCACGTTTTTAGCACGATGCTCTGCCTATTGAGCCAGGCGACCTCGTACCTGTACATATGAGTTTTCTTGTTTCTATATATCTTTTTTATATTTAACACAGGTGGACAAAATCTCAGGGAGTTTTCATCATCGATGTGACAAGGACTAAGTACTTGGGTGTAAGGGTATATCTGGCGTAGCACTAAACTAGTGATGCTTGGCCTTGGCGCGAGAAAGTAATTTTCGCAGAGAAAAGACGCCGTTGCCATACAAAATTTGTATGTAGAAAAAAGTCTGGCGAACTATCCTAACTACCTATATCTATATACATCAATATGGTGTCGCTGCACCACCACTGCAGTCCCCACAAGCGATCTCCAGTTATTTCCTTCCATATAGCCTGAGCAGCGTCTGCCGATATTTCTGTATCCGACACCGAGAGGGGTTATCCGTGGAATAAATACTTGAGATACCCACGTAACGTTGCCTTAGAAACACCCTGGTCACTTTAGTGCTTCGACAGACATACCGTAGTAATTGGCAATTAACGCCCCCCTTCTCACATAACGCCCCCCCTATATTTATAGGGTGTATGTTGAACTATTCTACATATATCTTAAGTATATATGTAACGCTATCTATGTATAGTTAGGTACCAAGGAAAGACAGTTAGCATCAGAAGGCTGGTGCTTGAGTCCGTAGTTCGTCTGTGCACTGAGAGGCCTACCGCACCCAAGAACTCTAAATATAGGGGGGGCGTTATGTGAGAAGGGGGGCGTTAATTGCCAATTACTACGGTACCCTTACACCCAAGTACATGCAGGTAAAAACTTGCGTCTTGAATCAGCAAAACAAAAGAAATTGTGGTCACGGTGAGACTCGAACTCACAACCTTCACGTTTTTAGCACGATGCTCTGCCTATTGAGCCACGCGACCTTGTACCTACTGTACATATAAGTTTTCTTGTTTCTTTTTATCTCTTTTATATTTATCACAGGTGGACAAAATTGATGGACACACGATACAAGGGAGTTTTCATCATGGAATGAATGGGAACTCCTGAACCCTCAAACCCTGTACTCTTGTTCTGTGTTTTGTACCTCTTTGAAACCATATCGATTGCTTTGAGCTTTTCTACCCTGTTGCGCTGTAATTTGTACAGTAGCTAGACTTATCGCTAGATTTTATGATACCGGGTAGTAGGTTTCACAATTTCAATGTAACGCGATTGCTGCATTGGCCTCAATCCCCCTAACTCTACCAGCACCCAGTTTTCCACTGACTCGTGTTCCAAAGGGCTATTCGGAAGCTGATTCATACTGCACCGAGGACCTTCTAGGGGAGAACAAAAATGATAGTAGAAGCCCTTCGCTCCATATATTCTTGGATATACAACCACACACACCCTCCCTTAATCGCCTATAAACACTTCACCAACGCATGCGCATCCAGCTGCACGCATGGTTAAACTCAAAATACCTTAAACAATTCTTCTTCCAGCACTTGAATTTCTTGTCTAAATGCCTGCACCAGTGATTCCGCAGTGATTCCGTATGGCGGTCGAGCTTGTTCAGCTCATCGCGCAGAAGGGTATCACTCTTCGCTTTGATATGATGTGCCAGTTGAGATTCTCCAGATAGCAGCCCTAAATGTAGTTTATCGTGTGCCCCGAAGCTCTCAAACTAGAGTCAAAAAGATTCATGCCTTTGAGGTTGGATATTTGTTAAACTGTAATGCTTGAGAATTGACGGGACGTCATTTTGCAACGGATCTCAAGAGTGTATTTTCGGCTAGAAGTCGAACTACTTGGGGCACATAATTTATACTCAAAAGATACTTAGATACTGTATGAAACTGATAGACCTCAGAATCTGATAGTACCCTGAAGTATTTACTGTATGGACAACAATGATCATAGCATAAATTCCCTATGTTCGAAGAGCGTGGCTTGTGTATTCGGGTGTAAGGGAAAGTCGGAATTGGCATGGCAGGGGAACTTCCAACGCGCTGAACTCTCCTTTTCTTGTTACTTGCGCAATCTGAGGAACTTCGTAACCAGAGAAAAGCTGGAGCATGAGGGGTCAATACTTCTATACACTACTGTGTCAGTTGAGCTTTTTGTGGTACATATGAAATTAACCAAAAGTTCGCTAGACTATTTTCGTCCATAGAAATTTACAGTACAACCTAGTCTGGTTAGTACAACCTACCAGACTAAGTACAACCTAGTGGTCTGATCGAGACTACCAGTCTCGTGCCCGATCTCAGTAAGTTAAAGTTCATACCAATTTAGGATGTCGGGCTTGGCTTTCCACACGTGCCTGAAGCCAAGGCCGACAAATCCAACGCTAACCCAATGCTTGGCACAACCTGGATTTTCGTATATAAACTGTCCATCCTCCCTCCCTTTCCACTTCTTTTTCTTTTCTCTTCATACTTACCTTGCGCCAAGCTCTTCGCTCATAAAAGTTGAGCTTCGAGCACAGGTCTAGCATTGCACACCGCTGGACTCTTGTGTCCGTGAATGGCCTTCGGGTCACTTCGGGCGCGTAGTTTTTGATTTACAAATTTCTTGGTCTTGATTTACTTCGAGATTGAGTATGAAGAGTACTTTTTGTTGCTTCTCTGGTCGCTGAGCTGGAGAGTAAGAAAAGATTAAAATATTCGCTTCTCCTGCTGTATCTGTTTCGCCTCTCTCTGTTACTGTTGGCTGGTCTCTACTTTGGTCTCCCATTCTTGCAAAGTGAGTCCATCAAGTTGTATTAGGTGAGCTTGAGCGAAACTTCCTGCATATTTGTAATAGTACAATGAAATATGCACGTGATGGCCTAAGTCTCGTTGAAAGATTATGCTTGTCGATCGGAAAATCAATTTGATTGTTCTATATCTTCGTTCTTTATTAGCCTTTGTTCACCTTGTTCTGCACGCCTTCTTTGTTCGCAGCTATTCTTTGTCTGTTGTCACTATTGTCAGCTTTGTTGTCTGCTATCGCTGTCTGCCGTTACTATTGTCTGCTGTCGCTGCTCTCTGGTATTGTCTGCGCTCCTGTTCAGTGGTTTATTTAAACCACACAAAAGTACCGTCTGTATCGATAAGATAACTGAGATACAATCAATCTCTTCCGCTGCATATGAACTCATTCTCCCTGTAGTTTTACAACATCTCGCATCTATATTCAGTAAAGTAATTACCATCAGACTTCAAACAACCGGCAACAGATCGTACTACTGTACATACTCATCACATGTTGCCTAGCCATCGTGCTTCTACTCTTTCCATATTTTAGGGGCCTACCTACCAAGGATAAACAATGGCGCAATTATGAAGGCAGGTTACAACTCAGATGGCTCACGCACAAATGACTCCCGTGGAGAATAGATATTCGACTCTCACAATCCTAACCCCCGCCAGCGGGCGTTCGCCACATAAGGTTCTCCCACTTCTTTACATCTATGATAAGCTCACCCAGGCACAGGGTATTGCATAGCCAATAGAAAATAAGACACACAGAACTCCAGATGACGGCATGGTGATGATGATGATGATGCTGCATATATTGAGATAGAGCAACGTACACATGTGAATATATGATGTCGTTGACCTAGCCATAGTCAGGTTTTTCACCAAGCTGCAAACGCACTCATGTTATCAGGGTAAATATGTAAATGTTGAACTTGCCATGGCATATCAAGAAACTGCGGTACAGCTCTTGGAGTCCCTCTAGATCTGGTTGAAACAATGTATGCGCTATGACAAGTATGTGTCGGAATCAGAATCGATTCTAGATGACCTAGCAACTGCTATTCAGTCTTCAGATTTGTTTTCAATACCATAGCATCCAATGTAGGTGGTTGTAACTACGTACTACTGCTCGGAAGATACCTAAAATAGAGAGCATAATATAAAAGGGCCATGTGAATGATATTGAAGAAATTCGGAAAGTTGATTTAGGAAGAGCCGGAGAGGGAACCTGACTGTTGTCAGACTTGGCACCCCGCTGAACTTGAAGAAAGGGTCGAAACCTGAGGGCCCTGGCGTTGTTCTAATTTAACATTCCCACCGGCCATAAGGTATCGCGCCAGAGCAGCAGACTGGGTGGGAAGTACCCTTCTTCTTTCCAATTGACATAATTGGAAATCTCTAGTCTTTTCTAATACTGTCAAGGTCAACCCGCTTAGGCTAGTCATCAGATTCTCGTATTTCCTATTCAGGTAACAAAAAAAAGGTTTAGAAAAAAAAATGCTAGGGTGACCATTTTCATTAACCTGAAAAACGACGATAATTTAGTTGTTCTCATGCAAGTATAACTATGTTCTAGTTATACAGTCATCTATAACTGACCGGCACCTACTAGTACTAGTACTAGAACTTGTGATGTCCACTCGGGACCCCAACATGTGCATGTGGTGCTCAATGTGCTACGTTACATACACATGGCCATCAGTATCTATCGAGGTACATGCGGGTACTGAGTCCAGAAATGAAAGGTTCTGCCAATGCATGCACTAGTAATTGGCTTTGGTCCGGAGTTGAAACCAATACCTAATAAAGGTAGTGGTACCTAGACCTAGCCATAGGTCCAGAGCGATCGAATCCTCAGATGCAAAGCATCCGTCATATGTGCATGATATAACGTGACGCCTATTCAGCATAAAGAAATATGGACAACAGCTAGCTGCGTGAGAGCGATTTTTTGACTCATCCCAACGCATACCTAGGGGCCAATTGCAAAGGCAAGAGAATTGAGTCACACACAAACCGCTTCTATGCATGACTTTAGCTGATCGGCGTCGACGCGAGTATGGCTATAGCACCGTTTGAATTTTAAGCTCGACAGCTTTTGATGAAGCATTTAAGTTTGATCTTAGCACCCGTTTTCTGAAACAACTGACCTAACATGTATAATTTCCTGCTGTTTCAAGATAACAGTTCCTGGTCAGCCACGAGTAAGCAATCCCAAGACAAGGCCTAGACGTACGATCGACTTGGATATACAGTATCTGGTGATGTAAGACATGCCTCAAGCTCATGATTATTGGCATCAACTCAAAGACATAACT